CGCAGGGTTTCGGCAAGCTCGGTGACTTTGGAGACCCCCGCGGCGCCACCCTTGACCTCAAGAGTGAACCGACGAGCAGGATCACGGCTGCGAGTGGCAACGCGCGCAAGTTCCACTGTGGCGTCGGACAACCAGCGGTGGGGGAGGGGGAAGAGGAGGAGAATGAGGGCGTGGTTGTGCTGGGGACCGTCTCACCCGTCTCGCCTGCGCCCCCCCCCTGCGGCAGTCCAGCGCCCGCCCCCCGCATGGCGGAGGGCGGGGAAGGCCCAGTCTGGAGCCGGCCACGATCGCCGCCGCCACCCGCCATGCCGCCCTCGCCGGGTGGACCGGCTGGGGTTGTGCGGGGGGCCCGTGGACGCAGGCCCTGAGCCTGTGGGCTCACGTGGAGGCTCGGAGGGGGAAAAGGTACCTGTACAGCTACCCTTCCCTCGTTTTCGCTTTTTTGGGCCTCCACGGAAACCCTCGTCACCACCGGGCCTCCACGGAAACCCTCGTCACCACCGCTGGGCTCGCCTCGAAAATTCTTGTCGGAACGCACCCCGGGAGAGCTCTGGGGAGTAGCGGTATCGGTGCCTGTTGGTTTCCCCAAGGGGTGTTGTGGACGGGGACGTCTACTGCCACTCCCCCATGCACGCGTGCCGTAAACTGAGCGGGTTGCACTCCTTGTGGTTCTAACTCCCCTAAGTGAGCGATTTTCATTTCGGCGGCTCTACGGCCTTAAGTGGGATGCGACACGGGAAGGAGAGGCGGGGGTTGTGGTGGTCACTGCATAAGGGAAACAAATATTGAAAAGAGCAACGCGCACCACGACCATGACGACGACGCTGCCGCCCTCGAGGCCTCGCCGCCGACGACGACGACGACGGAGACGAGGCACGCTTGCGATCCGCACCGAAGCATGGATTCTGAAAATGGCCCATCACACATCCTGTGAGGCTTGGTATACAGCACATCGTTGAGAGGTGCTGCGGCCCCCCCGAGCACAGTCCGTCGCCCGGAGCAGCGGCCAGACATATCGGGCTGCATGCACCCTCATGCCTTGCTGAGCCCAGGGGCGCGTTTCGGTACCCTCCTTCCCAACCTCGTCAGGGGCACCGACGAAGGAGAGGGCGGCGGTTGCCGACGCATCCCAAAGCTAAGAATATCTAGACGGCGCGGCTTAGGGAGCCGGAAAACAGACAGACGGACGGCTGGACAGTCAGGCGGCGTGCAATGCCTGGCAAGCCAAGTGGGAGGTCACTGCATGGAGGAACAAGTGCCGAGCAGAACAGAACACACACACACACACCACGAGTACGACGACAAGAGGGAGGAGGAGGAGGAGGAGGAGGAGGAGGAGGAGGAGGAGGAGAAGAAGGAGAAGGAGGATGAGGAAGTGGAGGAGGAGGTGGAGGAGGAGGATGGGGGAGGCTAGTGATGATGCGTTGTTATTTTCATCGTGAGTCCCCTGTGGCCAAGGATGTTTTCTAAAGTCTTGCGCGGCTTCCCGAGGGAGGGTCAGATTGGAGGCGGGTGATACAGGAATCGCTTACACTTGTGGAGCAATTGAGGCTTCCCTGGAGCCCCCAGGAGGGTTCAGGATCCGGCATGTCGGCCCCAAGAAAGGGAACTAATGTGGAAGGTTCGATGGATGTGGGCGTGGGCAATATGCGCGGGTGAATAGTTCAAGCTTCGAGTCCTCTCAATGGCCAGAGAACGGTAAGCTCCACGGAACACCCTCAGCCATCAAGTGTTGCATCCGCAGCCATCCCACGAAACGCTCAGCGGGAAAGACGGGCCAGCATAATAATCAGGAGGCGGAGGGCAGAGGAGGAGCAGCGTCAGTAGGAGCGAGAGGCGAAGGAGAACAAGGAGGAGATAAGGACACGTGACAAATGAGGGGGTGAACACGATGACGGTAAGGACGGGGCAGCGGACGGGGAGGGAACGGAGACCGAGGAGGAGGAGGAGGAGGAGGAGGAGGAGGAGGAGGATATTGCGGAAGGGGAGGGGAGGCGCGAGCAGGACGAGGGACATGATGAGGGGGACCACGACACACAAGACGAGAGGGAGCAGAGTGGAGAGAAGCACCAGGAGCTGCGAGGAAGGCCAGGCGGACAAGGAAGGGGACAATAGGGAGGGAAAGGTCGAGAACGAGAACAAGCTGGAGAGAGGGAGGCGAGAAGGGGAACGAGAAGTTGGTGGATGGCGGATGGAAGGCAGAGCATCGGCGGGATCATCGGCAGCAGGGGCAACAATGGCACGCGAGGAAGGAGGGGGGAACAACATTCAAAGGACGAGCTGCACGAGCAAGGTGAGGGGCTGGCAAGCGGAGGAGGAGGAGGAGGAGGAGCAGCAGCATGAGCAGGAGCAGGAGCAGGAGCTCAAGCGGGGCCGCGCGGGGCGCGGCCGCCCCCTGCGGGCCCTCCCTCCCCCGCTCCCCCCGCTCTCCCCTCCCTCAACTCCATGGCCATGGAGGTGGACGTCGACGTGCGGAGGCGGAGGCGGAGGCGGAGGCGGAGGCGGGGGTCCCCGCGGCGGCTGCCATGTGCCCGCTGGTGGCCGCCGGCGGCGGTCGGCGCCCTGTTCCCTCTCCTGTGCGGCGTCACCCTCGCCGCGGAGGAGGCCGTGGAGGTCGCGGCGCAGAAGCAGGTCAAGGGCAAGGCAGTCGACGAGATCTGCCAGGTGATCACGGAGAAGCCCCCCAACATCAAGTTCAACCCCGACTGCAAGACAGACGTCGAGGCCGTCTGGGACGCGGCGGTGGCCAAGTGCCCGCAGGCGCAGCTGACGCTGCCGAGCCCGGCGGACATCGAGAAGCTCATCTGCGAAGCCGCGTTGCAGAAGCAGGTCGAGGACAATGCCGTTGACGAGATCTGCCAGGTGATCACGGAGAAGCTCCCCAACATCAAGTTCAACCCCGACTGCAAGACAGACGTCGAGGCCGTCTGGGACGCGGCGGTGGCCAAGTGCCCGCAGGCGCAGCTGACGCTGCTGAGCCCGGCGGACATCGAGATGCTCATCTGCGAAGCCGCGTCGCAGAAGCAGGTCGAGGACAACGCCGTTGACGAGATCTGCCAGGTGATCACGGCGAAGCCCCCCAACATCAAGTTCAACCCCGACTGCAAGACAGACGTCGAGGCCGTCTGGGGCGCGGCGGTGGCCAAGTGCCCGCGGGCGCAGCTGACCCTGCCGAGCCCGGCGGACATGGAGAAGCTCATTTGCGAGGTCGCGTCGCAGAAGCAGGACGAGGACAAGGCCGTTGACGAGATCTGCCAGGTGATCACGGAGAAGTTCCCCAACATCAAGTTCAACCCCGACTGCAAGACAGACGTCGAGGCCGTCTGGGGCGCGGCGGTGGCCAAGTGCCCGCAGGCGCAGCTGACCCTGCCGAGCCCGGCGGACATGGAGAAGCTCATTTGCGAGGTCGCGTCGCAGAAGCAGGACGAGGACAAGGCCGTTGACGAGATCTGCCAGGTGATCACGGAGAAGTTCCCCAACATCAAGTTCAACCCCGACTGCAAGACAGACGTCGAGGCCGTCTGGGACGCGGCGGTGGCCAAGTGCCCACAGGCAGAGGTTGAGGAGGTCGAGGACAAGGGTGAGGAGAATATGGAGGAGGAGGAAGAGGAGGAGGAGGAGGAGGAGGTAGACGAAGAGGCTGAGGTCGAGGAGGTTGAGGAGGGGGCTGAGGAGGTTGAGGAAGAGGAATTGAGGGGGAGGAGGAGGGCAGGAGGAGGAGCAGAAGCAGGAGCAGGAGCAGGAGGAGGAGCAGTACCGGAGGAGCTAGCGGGCCCCCTGCCGCTCCCCGACGTGCCGACAGCAGCCTTGCGACTTTTCTGGCGGGCCCGCCGACCCGCCGAGGCGCATGCATGCTGCTGCTCGCGGTGTTGTTTTTGACGTCCGCTGCGTGGGAGGCATCCGGCCATGGGAGGCGGCATCCCGACGTTGAGGGTTATCGTACGGGCCCCGAGTCCTCGTTCATAAGCTTCCCGTTCCTGTACGTCTTGGGCCACTCGCTCTGGCTTCTCGCGTTCGCGGTGGTGGGCATCTTGGAATTGCTGGAATGCGTCCCCCGCCTGTCCAACGATGGCCGCGCCGGTGCCTGCACGCTGTGGGCCCACCTCGCGCGCCTCATCGGACAGTATGGTCGCGCCGCCCTCTGCCTCAGCGCATGCCTCGTGGCTGCGGCCGCCGTGGGAGCAGTCTTGGGCAGCAGTGCCCGGCTAGCGACCGCCTCGGCCCATGCGGGAACCCCAGCCGCTATGGCTGCCCATGCTGCTCCAGCCGCCTGGGCTGCCGCGTGGCGCTCTGTGGAGTTCGACGCCACCTTGGGGTATCCAGGAGAGGGACCCCCCGAGGCAGCAGGAGGAAGGGTAGGAGGAAGAGGAGGTGGAGGAGGTGGCGACGCAGCGCCCAGAGCACCAGGAGAGCAGGAGGAGGAGGAAGACGAGAATGCACGGGAACGCCGGCTTCGCCGCCGCCACGGTATGGACGGAGGCCGCATGGAGGAGGACTCCAGCCCTGGCCAGAACGAGGCCGCGGCAGATATGGAGGCAGACCAGCTGGCAGAGGGCGTGGGCGCGATGGAGATTGACCAGCAGGGAGGAGGCGCAGGCGGCCGGGGAGGTGGAGGTAGAGGTGGAGGAGGACGAGGTGGTGCCCGTTGCTGCCGTTGGATCGTGTCGGTGCAGCCGCACGGGTCGCGACGGCCAGCTTGCGTCGTGTGCCATGAGACGCTCGACGGCGGCACGGCGCGAGTGGCCAGGGCGGCCGACCATGCCCGACGGCGGTACTTCCGTCACTGGGAGTGCGCCCTGGAGGACATCCGCCGCGGGGATCAGCTAGCCTCCGAGGGGAACCCGGCGGTGACCCAGCCCGCGCTGCAGACGCTGCAACAGTCCGCCGGAAGACCTGCAGCTGACGCTGAGGAGCGCCCTGGAGGCGACAGCGAAGAAGGCGGCAGGGGAGCAGACGGAGGAAGAGGAGGACGAGGAGGAAGAGGAGGAGGAGGGGCAGCATCAGCAGGAGCAGCACCAGCAGGAATCGCACCTGCAGGAGGAGGTGGAGGAGCAGAAGCAGCAAGTGCCGATGGGCAGCGCCAGCACACCCAGGACGCGGTGCCACCCTCAACGTCGGCGTGGCCGTGCCCGGACTTGAGCTGGTTCGACACCCTGGACGCGGACGCCATGCTCGGGAGACCAGTGGCGTGCATTCCCCGCGTGCCTGAGAGCCTCCAGGCGCAATATCGTGCTGCCAAGCTGGTCCTCCTCGAAAAGCTGGCGGAGGCAGGGACAGCCGCCGAGCGGCTTCGCGCGTGGAAGGCCCTTGTGATGCTGGACCGGTTCCTTTTGTGGAAAGGCTTCCGGAGAGGAGGAAAAGGCAGAGGAGGAATTCGGCAGAACGCGAGCGAACGCGCCATCGCCGAGAGGCTTGCCCTGTTCTGGGCCGGCCAGTGGGCGGCCTTGGCTCGACCAGCGCATGAAGCCATTCGACCAGCGCGCCGGAGGAGAGGGCCCGTGCCACCTGAGCGCATTCGGGAACTCGTGGATGACGGTGCGTGGCGGCGGCTCCTGGCAGCGCTACGCGGCGGCGCCCCCATGCTGGACTCCCCGGACGTCGCCGATGACCTCCGCCGCCTCCTCCCCCAGGAGAGCACTGCCGACAACGTCGCGAGGGCCGCCTCCGCGGTGGACATCTTGGACGACGACTTCCAAAAGGCCGTTGCGCAAGAGCTGCGCGAAGCCAGCCCTCACGCAGCAGCCGGGCGAGACGGAAGCCGGGCGACGCACTGGCAAGTCGGGTCAGGAGATGAGCATTTCGAGCGCCTGCTGGCCAGCGCCCTGAAACAGTGGCTCGACGGGGAGGCCCCGGCGGAGCTCGACGACATCTTCTCGCGTCAAACCTTGTTCGTGCTGCAGAAGAGCAACGGCGGCGTTCGGCCTATCGCAGTCGGCGCGTTCCTCAGGAGGCTTGCACTACGAGCCCTACTCCGGTGCAAGCGGCAGGAGGTGCAGGACACCGTCAGCTCCATGCAGTTCGCGCTTGGGCGCGCTGGCGGCGCCGACGCGGCGTTCAAGGCGCTCAGCGTGGCTGCGGCGTCCGGAAATTGCAAGGCCGTGCTCAGCCTGGACATCAAGAACGCCTACGGCACCGTCCGCCGGAGGGCCGCTCAGGAGGCCGTTCGGGCTCGCGCGCCTTGGATGAGCCCCTTGGTTGACCGCCTGCTCACCGCCACGACCCGGAACGCCTACGACACAGCCGACGGCGACACGATCTGGGTCGAGCAGGGCACTGGCGTGCCGCAAGGGTGCCCGCTCAGCACGTTCCTCTTCTGCGTGTCCCTGGCCGGCGTGTTGGAAGACACCAGGGAGGAGCTGCACCGGCGAGGCCTAGAGACAACTCTTGTGGCGTACGCGGACGACTTGTACATCGTGGGGCCGGCTGCTAACCTCGCGGCGTCGCACGACGTGCTGGCTACGGAGCTCGCACGGGTGGGCTTGCAGTTTGCGCCGGAAAAAACGAAAGTTTGGTTGGCTTCTCCCGAGGCAGCGCAAACCCTCCCGGCGACGCTGCATCACGCTGTGGTGCCCGACCTTCCCGTGTTAGGGTGCACTCTCTACCACCACGACCGCGAGGACGACTTGGCGGCAGGGTTTGGCAACTCCGAGCAGGGAATGCAGAAGGCGGCGGCGCTGGTGCGCGCTACGGCCGCCACGCTCAAGGACGCCCGAAAGCGAGGGCTCGGCTGCCAGGTCGCGGGCGCGATTCTGCGGCACGTCACAGTCGGCGCCCCTCAGCACCTGCTCCGCTCGCGCCTCTGGAGCGAACCCGCACTCGCGGCCTACGACACCGCCGTCGCGGACGCTTGGGCCGAGCTGATCGGCGCCCACCTGACCCCGGAGCAGATCGCGATCGGCAACCTGCCGCTTCGCGACGGCGGCGTCGCCTTCGGCTTAGCCGCGCCGCGGGCGTCGGCGGCTTTCCACACGGGATGGCGCCACCACCTCTGGCGGCAGTGCGCCGGGGCTCCCTTGTACACAGAGCAGGGCCTACGCGCAGCTTTCCCCGGGCTCGCAGCGGAGCTGGCCAAGGCAAAAGCAGACTTGACGACCCGGGCGCCCGCGCTGGTCGGCGACGTGAAATTGGATTTCACTGCCGAGCCCCACAAGCGCATGCAGAGGATGATCACGGACGCCGTGAACCTCCGGGCGCGCGAGAACATCCTTGCCAGCGTCCAGGAACCTTGGAGGGCGCGGCTGCGGCAAGCAGGCGGCGCTGGCGCCGGCAGCTTCTTGTGCGTGCCCCTGCCCGGCAACGAGGCCATCGCGGACGGAGCCTGGCGCATGGCTCTGCGCAGACGCCTACTGTGCACAGTTGAACAGATAGTCTTTCCAGCGCGTGCGGAGACGCATTGCCAACACTCCGGTCCACGGGGTGCCTGCGGGGCGCAGCTGGATGGCCTTGAGGGTCTCGTGCACGCTGAGGGGTGCAAGATCGGCGGCGAGGTGGTCGGGGGCC